AAGAAGAAGAAGAAGAAGAAGAAGAAGAAGAAGAAGAAGAAGAAGAAGAAGAAGAAGAAGAAGAAGAAGAAGAAGAAGAAGAAGAAGAAGAAGAAGAAGAAGAAGAAGAAGAAGAAGAAGAAGAAGAAGAAGAAGAAGAAGAAGAAGAAGATACTACCTGTTTAGTAGACTTGATTAATGACACAGCTATTGTACTTCTAAAGACCTTGTTAAGTGTGCATAAGGGAGATACTGCTTCAGATCACATTACTAGTTAAAACACGTTGCATTAGGAAAATATCACCAACTAAATTGATCTTAATATTAAAACAGACTTATGTATAATATGTCTTTACCATATCATACGAAAACGAGTCTGGTTCTTAACAGTTACGCAGCTAAGGACAGAAATTAAAGATGAGTTGAACAACATAAAACAGGATTACAGATGTATTCCCAGCATGACAAGCACCCCCACATTTTAGTCGACACACAATGGAGTACCTGAACGAGCAGTTCCCTGACTGATGGATTGGTCTTGGTGGTCCACGTAATTGACCAGTGGTTACTCGAACTCAGTCCCTTATACTTCCTAGGGTTACATGAAAAACATGGTGCATGAATGTAAAGTAAACAGAAGAGAGGAACTACGTAATTAAATTTCGAATGATGCAGAATTATCCTTATACTGGGCCTGTTATAATTAGTGGGGTCCGCAGTGGCCGCGCGGTCTGAGGCGTGGGCCTTCTGCCGCTTGGTCGCAGGGACCGTGGCTTCGAATACCTCTCAAGCAATGGATGTTTGTCCGCGTTTTTCTGTGTTGTGCTGTCCTGTGTACAGATAGAGGCCTTGCGACGGGCCGATCCCTCGTCCAAGGAGACCTACCGAATGTCTATAGATAAGCCAACGAAAAGTTGGGACCCGCAGTGCTCAGGCACTTGAAGAACGGGTCGTTCCTAGTATCCCCCAGTTATAATTAGTATACGTTTCATCCAAATATGAATTGAGGACAATCACCCTCATCTCTTATTTTCACAGCAATGTAGTATTCACCACTAACTGAAAACCTCACAGTCACTGACGTCCCTGATATGCCTGCCGACAATGTTGAGTCGGAACCATATCTCATTTTAATTTCAATCAGGACAGGCTATATAAGAAGGTACTAGCTACGTAAGCATTCATAACCTCAATTAGGAAAGCCGCCGTCCTGGGTGTCTGGGTGTGACAGGTTTTCTTGCTAAGGAACCAGAGGAATAAAGAGGGCTGAGTGTTATAAGAACTGCCATCAAGATACAGTAACCCGTCAACTACAACAGCTTGTTGACTGTAGCATGCACAGCCTAAAAACTGCATCTCAGTAAAGAGGCTACTTAACATAACACGTCAAAGTTCCATCTTGCATTAGATGGATTAGATTTTAACTTGATTAACAGTTCAGATATTACCAATTTAAGTTGTGGGCATTAAATCAGATGGTACACGTAATTATCACTGTCCCAAAAATGAAGCTACAGCAACTTCTATGTTATTCGAGTGACCTGATAAACCATAATATAAAGAGAAGGAACTTCGTCGGGGGATGAATTAGAGCTTCTACATGCTTCCACTTTAAATATCAATAAATTATTCAGACTGTAGTGACAGCACTGAATTGACTACTACAAATACCTTACCAACTGCAACAATAATTCTGTATCTTTTCCACTTATGCATTGGCTGTACATTTTTATTCTACAGAAGAAAAAGTGGAAATGCGTACTCAATTACAGAATATATAAAGTTTTCAAAAATTTGTTATACTTTCTCTGTATGTAATGTCTTCTGTGTGAAGTTTAATACAGTTCGTTAATTTACTTGGAACGTAGAACTCATATTCTTCAAAAAGTCCTCAAGATGGTATATAAAGCATATTAAGGAAGCAAATACATCTCTTAGTTGACTCTGCAATGTTTATTGAAATAAATGCTTATCCATACTGTTAAATTGATTAAAATAAAAAAGTTCATTACGCTCTCATGAGAAGTAGAAGTTTGGAGACACCAATACAAACCCAAATGTAGATTTTTCCAATAATTTTTAATCTACGTCTTCATCACAAAATTTAATCATATCGCGTCTAATGGTTTGACAGATAGGCCTACATGAGATGGGCGGGTGTTTGCGACGAAGGGGGCATCCCCCCCCCCCCCCATACAGAACCAACCTCACTCGTTTTTGCTGCACATGTGAATAGCATGCACCATCTTATTTTCTCACATTTCTATGACAAAGGCTTATCAGTAAGACAAATTCCACATTACATTGCATGATATACACACGGTACGTTATGTTACTTCATATCCTAAACAAAATAAATACTGTAACCATCCATTACGGGTCAGGAACTAGAGACTTTTAGATTTCAAATTTATGTCTTAATGAATATTTTAGGTTGCAAGAGAAATTCAACTTCACGAGCTGAACGCTAGTCTCACTGCTTTTAAACAAACAGATCAGAAAGAGGAAGGACACTCTTGCTGTAATTAAATTTTATGATGTGGGAATCAAGAAACGTAGACCACCGTTGCGCATAATTTAATGAAGCAATTAGAATAAAAATACAGAAAGTTTAGTGGAACTTTACGAATTAGTTGACATCCTTTGTCGTATTCGATAGCTGATAACTCCATGACCGAGGATCGATTGCAGGGGAGAAAAAGGAACTATTTTCTTTGCCACCACGTACGGTTCAGGGCCCCATTGAGTCTATCTGGGGTAAACAGACAGGAGCGTGAAGTTGATGACTCGCACATCCAACCAGTCAAGAAAACGTGCAGATAAACCTCCTATACGCTTTCAAGGGGTCATCGTAGTCACAACCATGTTTCGGTCCTGTTAGGATCACTTCAGCCCTTATAAGTATAACGTCCAGAGCTGGATTTTATTTCTCAATTATCACATATCAGCTATACCAACCTCACTCGTTTTTGCTGCACATGTGAATAGCATGCACCATCTTATTTTCTCACATTTCTATGACAAAGGCTTATCAGTAAGACAAATTCCACATTACATTGCATGATATACACACGGTACGTTATGTTACTTCATATCCTAAACAAAATAAATACTGTAACCATCCATTACGGGTCAGGAACTAGAGACTTTTAGATTTCAAATTTATGTCTTAATGAATATTTTAGGTTGCAAGAGAAATTCAACTTCACGAGCTGAACGCTAGTCTCACTGCTTTTAAACAAACAGATCAGAAAGAGGAAGGACACTCTTGCTGTAATTAAATTTTATGATGTGGGAATCAAGAAACGTAGACCACCGTTGCGCATAATTTAATGAAGCAATTAGAATAAAAATACAGAAAGTTTAGTGGAACTTTACGAATTAGTTGACATCCTTTGTCGTATTCGATAGCTGATAACTCCATGACCGAGGATCGATTGCAGGGGAGAAAAAGGAACTATTTTCTTTGCCACCACGTACGGTTCAGGGCCCCATTGAGTCTATCTGGGGTAAACAGACAGGAGCGTGAAGTTGATGACTCGCACATCCAACCAGTCAAGAAAACGTGCAGATAAACCTCCTATACGCTTTCAAGGGGTCATCGTAGTCACAACCATGTTTCGGTCCTGTTAGGATCACTTCAGCCCTTATAAGTATAACGTCCAGAGCTGGATTTTATTTCTCAATTATCACATATCAGCTATTACTAATACATTTTGGCTGAATCTCGCGGACAACAATATGGGGAAAGTGCATTAACCCCAACAACGTTAAATTTTCCTTTCTGTCGGTACACGCCTATTAATATACAGACTCGAATATAATTAAATACATATCTGTAATTCACATCTTCGAAGACAATATAATGCAAATGTCATTAACGTTGATATTCAGTCTTTAATATTTAACATTATAAAGGCAAAGAAAAGTACTCACGAAACGTGAAGAATTATCATTCCTGTATGTTTTTGCATTTCCGAATGCTGCAAAAAAGAGAAAATTAATTCACAATGGATTTAATCTTATATCTACGGGATTACAATAACCTAAATGCATTCGCTTAGTACATCTGTATGTGAGACACTTAAAAATAAATCTATCTTTTGTGCCACCAGAAATTAAAAGCAGCGTTTGAATAGAAAATCATAATGAAGGATGGATAAATTTAATAAAGTCAATGAAGAGAGAGCTTTGATGAGCATCATTTTTAAGAACGATACAGTTAACTGCTTTTCGTTCCACCAGTCTCTCTGATCGAGGACCAAAATTGCGACAATACAAAAAAGAGGTCATAACTTGCACTCAAGTTGGAATGTGTCGACAGCAGTTAATAAAATTTCCCCATAATAAAATTTCATTTCAGAGGTTCTCAACATGCAGCTGAGTTAAAAGGTGCATTTTTTGTGCTTTTCGTTAAGAACGGGCCACTCTTATTTCTTTGAGGCAGAAACAGAATGTTTAAATATTATTCAGATGAACTTCGTGATTCATAGGGCTAATGTTACAAGTGTAAAAATGCGCCGAGAAACCAAAACAGTCCATCATTCAAAAACGTGGATGCTGGTGCAGAAGTTCAAACGAAAAACAGGTATTAATTTACCTTCCAAAAGCGGCCCCGCTTGCACCAGGCGTTCCTTCATGATCTTAACCTCCCGACTTTGACCCGACGCGAGGGCCACGAACTGCAAGACGATGCGGGCTGCTTCTGTCTTCCCGGCGCCACTCTCTCCAGACACCACGATGCACTGGTCCTCGTTCCGGTCCCTCAGGAACCTGTACGCAGAGCCGGCGATAGCGTAGCTGCAACAATCAACTGGGATACAACGCAGAACAAGTGCCTGACCTCTTCAAACTTTCAACAATCAACAATTTTATTGCCTGAGGAAAAGCAAAATCTTTCACAAGATGCACGCCAAAGCAGAGAGCGTAAAGCGAGGTCTCGTGCACTATTCCTGGTCTTTTTTGACTCGCTGGTCGACGGTGCGTCGCGTCGCGACGTTTTCGTAACCAAGTGTTTGATGTTCGGAACATTTCCGATGAGCGAATTAGCTTTCGGATGACGAGCGAAGCGGACGGAATGCGCCCTGTCAAACGAGTTGGCATGAGCGAAATGTCTTAATGCGTTATCTCCGTAGAGCGAAGACTGATTGTGCTTCGGGTTCTTTTGACTTGTCATCAATCCACCGCTGCTGCACACTCATCTATTCCGTCCCAGAGGTGTTCGTACGAAGGACCCGTTCAGTTAGCACTATATTACAGCACCAGTCCTTATCTATCTAATGAGTCAATTCCATAAAGCAGGGTCCATTTTGAGTCGTTCAGCTAATAAAGAAATTACTAACCTCTTATATAAATCAAAGGTTCAGTACCGCGTACACAAGAGCCTTATATTACGCTAGATGAATGCAGTCCATACCTCCCAACACATTTCATTAACATTCATTTTAATATTATCATCAATCCTAGTCCCTAACACTTGAAAATGAAAGAAACTAATAAAAATCTGGAGATTTAAACACCGAACAGTTTATAAACAACTGTCATTTGCTTGTTGTCTGCTGAGGCAATCATCCGGTTCGCAATAAAACCTGCATCCACCCCAAAGTTATAGCAAATGTATGAGGGCGCCGTTCGTACGATGCGGAAAAAAAGAAATTAAGTTCTGACGGTTGCGACTATGGTAACAAGAAATGCAACAAGCTAAAGGAGTCTGCGTTTGACGGAAGTCTGGAGTTAGGCGGCCGGTTCTGTGTTCAATTGCCTTGAAGATGTTTTCACAATTCAATTTAAACTTTAAAGAAATTATATAAATCTTTTGCTTTCAAAGCAATTTGAAAATATAACGCTGCAATAAATTGCAAAACTATGCAACACAAAAAACTGTTCATTCCCGTGAAATTTTACTGGCCATACTAGGCTAGTGCACCTGCACCTAATAACATTTCAATTAGGCCTATTTGTTAGATCTGTAAAGATATTTGGTTTAGTGTCAGAGAAGCATTAGGTGACAATAATTAGGGAAGTGCATTCGGTGTAACTGACTACACATAAAGATAATGGAATGACGAAACATATTTCTAGTTGGAAGCGTCATAAATCAAAACTTGGCATGCGATACAGTGGCGATGCGAAATTTTCTTTATTATACACAGTCTTCTTTAAACATTCACTGATTCAATGATCTTACAGATTAGCATGCAGACCTTAGCGGTCTAGATAAGACTTGCAGCAGCATCACATTGTCATTATGGCGAGGTAATTAACGTCAGCCTCATCATTAATCACGTGGTTATAATATCCCTTACTATTCACGCCACGCCATCAAACCAGCTGAATAAACATTGCAGCTAGTCGTTTTGTAACTTTCACACCATCACTGCCACGGTCACCACAGAGGAAGCATAAAACAGATAAAGGGACGAAGCAGAAGTTTTTAAATTACGATTTATAATAATTATAAGGCAGAGACATAGAATGTATTGCGTGATATTTGCTCGCTATCTGGAATTAATTCATTGGAGTCTACACCAACAGCTTCGTATTCTGCTTAACAAAAAATATATCAAAAGGCAGAAACAAATGGTTAGCATGTTTGTGATTCATTTCACGTGATGATATCCGTCAATAGCCAACCATCCATTACGCCCACCACACTAATTACTAATAGATTGATTAATTCAAAAGTTTGTACAAGATGTTTGCACCACCGGGGACATTTTCATCTCGGACTGTGCATGTCTGCTCTCAGAATTTATGACAGATATCTGGGCTTCTACCAACATCACAGCCTTCTAGGCGAGCATACTATCACTAGACAACTGAGACGTACCGATACAAAATCTGCCAGTACAGTGACAACCAATGAGCTGAGGACAAACGTAAAGCCAAGTCCTGAAATGTCGTGTGGCCCCCACATAAAATAAAGTTCAGACGCTGGACAATACCGAAGATAATATTCCTACTGGCAGACCTATAAGAAATTATTCTCACGCGTTGCAGAACCAGTTGATACCAGTCAACAACACCACACTCTATTTCACAGGATTCACTTTAATATTATTCTCCCATCTACGTCTAGATTTGGAAAATGACTCTTCCATTCAGGCTTTCCATTTAGAATTTTTTATGCATTTCTTATGTCTAATGAGTAATATACGGTATTTTCGAAAGTACTGTATACTCTTTACTGTGTGTAATTACAGTAACGGAAGTTTAATTTCTTATTTCTCATTCTCAAAACTAATTCTGATATATAGTAACACTGGGGATTGAGGATTTCACGACACCGTTCCGAAACGAAACCTACAAACCGAGATTACTCTAGAATAGGCCCTATACTTAAATGCTACAGGAAACTCACAAAGAATTATACTGCTCATATAAAGTAAACGAAAGAGGCTCTTCTATACCCAGAAAGCAAGTTTTGTTCCACCAAACCAATTAAGTTGGCAAGAGACGTAATAAGCTGAAAACAACCTTCAAATACAATAACGACTGAGTTTCACAAACAGGATGCTTGATTAAATTCCATACTTTTACACAAATTACAAGAAAAAATCAACTTTCATATATATAACGTCAGAAAGCTTAATTTTCATAACTGCTGTCATTAGAAACATCTGTGGAACACGTGTGTTTCCATAAACATATTTTTAAATTACGAGATTTCTTGTTCTCACGACAGCGATTATGAAGATCACAGTCTTAATGGTGACCACTCATTTGGATTATAGACGCGGTGAATGAGCAGAAAAGCAAAACAATTGAAGGACGGCTGCATATGTACCAGTGTCAGTGTGTGTGTATCAGGAATTTATAAACATTGTGACTGAACAACACAGTCTGAAAATGTACTTACTCTTGCATCGAATACAATATTCTACGATCGTTGCATGCTGAATCGCTTTCAAAATGTCTCATAAAAGTAACTTAGTGTTGGTCACAGAATAATACATGAACGACTGTTACCAAACATAATTTGGTCCAAGGCCTACGTCTATTATCGAAGCCTGAAGACGATAAACTTAAAACCGCATATTTAAATTCTACCACTTACACCACAATAGAAAGTCTAATTAATCTTGAAAATGACAAATCAGAAAAGAAGACTACAGAAATGTACTGCTGTGAAGTGGCGGAAGGAAGCCTTAGATAGTGGCAATAAACCCAGTTGACATCTAGAAGATTGTTTCTCTAACGATGTGGCAAATCTTATTAGGAGTCACCACCCTTCCGCTGCCGTCGCTTTTTTCTGCGGACGGGAAACTAATAAAATTCGTAGGCTAGAACAATCTGTTAGACGCACAATTATCATTGGCTTTTCTTTTCCTTTTCTACATTCTTTTACATTGGTCTCCCTCTTACTCTGATCTGTCCTTTCCCAAAAATGTCACATGAATAAGCTTGTCTCGTAACGCAAAATACGGCGAAGAACCGCTCCCTCTTCAGAAAAAATGTAGTGTACTACAAGGAACCAACTACAACACAGCCCTCAGAGACGTCATCTTGTGAAAAAAGGCATTTTCACCTGGAAGAAAATATCACACAAATACAACGTAAGAGTGTGTACAGAACCCAACATGGCCAAATATTTTATTCTTCATTATTTACTTACAGTTTTTAAAAAGGAGACATCAAATTAGGTTCCTACGCGAAATGCAACAAACAAACAGACAGACAACAGACGGGCCCAGAAATGTCTCTAGAGTGGTGCTGGGCCCGGGTATCGCCACAAACCCGCCATACAAGAAGTGACGTGTTTAGTTGCTTTTCGGAGATCTGTGGCGGGGATCGGTGGCGCGGTCAGGTGGTCCATGTGAACTTTGACCTTTTTCAATGACGCCAGTGACGTAAGAATCGTCTGTGGTCAATGACCTCAGCTTGAGCGAGAGGTCTGGCGTCTGTCTAGCTGGTTGATATAAATAAGGGGGTATTACCCCAAGGAATATCCCACGAGACTGGGTGTGCACCTGTCTGGATGGGAATTCCCTACTCGAGAATTCACCACCACGCACTTCTGCGCACAAAAACGCATGTTTGTGGTCATGTAAAATGTCCGTTACTGCTGTACAGTTTTAACCAAAATTGTAATGTGTCAATAAAGTTGTTGCTAGGATTCACCAAGACTCAGTTCCGTGCATAGAAATTACGAAAATCTGTTCAGCGGTGGTTCTCACGTTGTTACATGCGGAATAACAAACATGGCGTTGCTAAGACGAACATTTTTACGTCTTATAATAGTGAATGCTCCCAAAGTGACTAAAATATTGTGAACAACATCTTTTATTTTGAAATTGTGTGTAAGTGTTTGGTTATGTGCATAGGACCACCTCTGCAGATTAACGTGGGATTTGATCCACGACTGAGAGCTTGAATATCTCAGTCATAACGATTTGACTTTGTCAGAAGTATTAAAAGGGAAAGACGTACGAAAACAAGTTACACTGATCCGGACTTTTATCGACTAACCAATTTTCAAGCACTTTAATTGCCTTCCAGAATCGTCATTTAACCCATTTACGTCGATAAACAGTTATTGTTTTCCGTGACTGACTGTGAACATGGTAAACTGATGCCATTTTTCTACTTGATGGACTTATTTTATTACTCATCCGAGCTACTATTTTTTATAAACTTTCAAGGATGAACCTCAGAGGATC